TTCGTCAAAACGTCGGCAGCCATGTCCTCCGTTGGTAGATACTCGATTGTAATTTCTCCTCTTCTTAGAATCTCGCGTATATAATGGTGGCGAACGTCAATGTGCTTACTCCTATTATGGAATATCGGGTTTTCAGCTAATTTACGGGCACCATTGTTGTCACAGAAAATTATTATTTTTTTCGTCTTTGCGAATCCTAGTTCATCAAGGAAACGTTTCAAATGTGTTGCTTCTTTTCCGGCTTCGGCTAAGGCCATATACTCGGCCTCAGTCGATGAGAGGGCCACAGTCCTCTGCTTCCTGGATTCCCATGAGACACTGGATCCTCCGAGAATGAACGAAAAACCGGTATAGGACTTTCTGTCATTTGGGCAATTTGCCCAATCGGCGTCTACAAATCCTTTCAGTGATTCTCCGGATCGATGAAAATGTAGACCCACATTTTTTGTTCCTTGCAGATAACGGAGTACGCGTTTTGCGGCCACCCAATGGCTCACATCGTGGCAATTATTGAATTGGCTAAGGTAACTGGTCGCATGTGCGATGTCGGGACGAGTACACATAGCCAGATACATCAATGCTCCCATAAGTTCACGATACGGGTGTGAGCTTTCTTCATGATCAGGATCCTTCGATTTTTCCAGTTTTACTCCAGGGTCCAGTGGTGTTGATACCGGTTTGGAGTCCGACATCCCAAAACGAGTGAGGACATCATTGATGTATCCAGTTTGGCTGATCTGAATTCCATCTTCTTTCATAATGAACTCCATTCCCAGGCAGTGTTTAACCGTTCCAAGGTCCTTAACATCAAAGATCTTCGATAGATAATTTCCGAATCTTGTGATATTGTTTTTGTTCCGAGAGGCGACGAGGAAATCGTCGACATAAATTGAAATTATCAGCAAATCTTTTCCTTTTCCTTCGTAGTACACACACGGATCGTGAGAAGATCTTTTTGCACCGAATTTTATTAATTCTTTGTCGATTCTAACGTTCCAACAACGTCCAGCTTGTCGTAGACCGTAGAGTGCCCTTTTCAGCAAGCACACTTTGTCCCCTGATTGAAGATCGATCAGCATTTTCTTTGCTTTCCTTCCGATATCAGAGTCGAGACTTTCGGTGGCGGTGATTTCTTCCAGAGCTTGAATGGTGTACTTTGGTACTTCCATGAGTACCTCCTCGTCAAGGGTACCATTTAAATAAGCAGTTGTGATGTCGAATTGTTTAATCGTCATGCCATGTTCCGCTGCTATTGCCGTTATGCATCTGATGGAGCTGAGTCGTGCCACGGGGGAAAATGTTTCGTCGAAGTCTATTCCGGGTCTTTGAGCAAATCCTCTTGCTACAACCCTTGCCTTCCTTCGATCCAAACTTCCATCTTCTTTATATTTATTCCTTAATATCATTCGACTACCTATTACAGCTTTATCACTCGGTCTGTCGATGATAATCCAGGTGTCGTTCTTGACAATAGATTTGATTTCCGATGTTATTGCGTTGCTCCAATCTTCAGCGTCTGGTCCTCGAATAGCCTGTTCCAGCGGTATTTCGGCGAGAGACACAATCTCCTCAATTGAATTTGAACAATTTAGCATGTTGTACTTCTTTCTGGGTCTCCCCCTCTGACCAGTTTTGACCTTCTGAGGTCTACCAGGGCCTCTGCGCTGATTGTCATTGTGAGCACCCTCGCCTTCGTTCTGTTCACTCTCTTCTTGATCGTTTGACTCGTCGCTCAACTCTTCTTCCACGTCATACCGATCGTCGTCCGATTCGACCATAGCTTCGTTTTCCTCTCGACGTTCGTGATCATTCTTATTTCTAGGTGATAAAATCAGTTCGAGTTTTGCACTATTGTCGTTGTTAAATTCGTTTCGATCTTCTGGTTCCGGCGATTTCTTTGGTAGTCCGATGAACTTCACATCCCTGGTGATATCAATTCGATGTTCACTGGGTATCCATACCCGATAGCCTTTGGATTCATCGGAATAACCGACAAATATTCCGTTTTTTGAGCGTGAGTCCAGTTTACCTTTTGTCGGCAATCTATTCAAGGTGAAAACTTCCGATCCAAATACTTGAAATTCGCTTACGTCCGGAGCTTTTCCCATCCATTTTTCGAAAGCGGTCATACCACCGAGACTTCTGGAGGGACAACGGTTTCGAATATAATTCGAAGTATTAACAGCTTCGCCCCAAAACGCTGGGGGAAGAGATGATTGCTTGAGGAGACATCTCGTCATATCCATCAGAATCCGGTTTCGCCTCTCCGCAACTCCATTCTGTTGAGGTGTATAGGTGACGGTTAACCTTCTACCGATGCCATTTTCTTTCAGGTACTCGTCGAATGCAGAGTTTATGTACTCTGTTCCATTGTCTGACTGAACAAATTGTATCCTGCATCCGTGTTTATTTTCAGCTGCGGCCTTGAAGTCCTTGAAAGCGGAAAGTACTTCGTCCTTTCTTTTCAAGAGACGTATCACGCACCAACGAGAGTAATCGTCGATAAACGTCGCGATATACCTGGCTTTGCCAACTGATTCCACGCGTATCGGGCCACATACGTCGGTGTGGATGATTTCCAGTAATTTCGAACTTCTCTCTGATGACTTTGGAAAAGGCGCTCGTGTCATTTTTTCACTGAGACATATTCTGCAGTTGAAACTATTTCGTGTATTTCCGAGATTCATACCACGCACATTTCCTTTCCGGTCACTGTCGATGAGATCGCGAACGTTCAAGTGTCCCATTTTCACATGCCACTCTTCCATTGCATTGTCCTTAACGTTTTCGTCGATCACAACATTTGAATTAAGTTCATTGTTCACTTCACGTATGTAGTATAAGCCTTCCTTTCGATCAGCAGCGAGTATTGTGTCGCCTTTTTCATTGATTATTTTAGCCTCTTGTTTGTCGAAAATCACTACACAATTTCTATCTGTGAGCTTTCCTACGGATAACAAGTTTGTGCGCAATTGAGGAACACGTAGCACGTTACTGACACTTATGTTTTTCACATGACCGTTGACGTCTGTACTAATAGCCACAGATCCTTTTCCTTCAATTGGAGTAGTGGATTTTTCACTGGCTAATTTGACACTGCCGGCACAAGGTTGAAGTTCGGTTATAAAATTCGCATCACTGTTTCCCATGTGCGTCGTGCAGCCACTATCAAGACACCATAATTCACTGCTTCGCGATTTGTCCGTCTCGTACGTTTCCGAACAATTCATGTTTTCTGCACTAACTAATAAACATTCGTCATACACTGTGTTTGCGTTGCTTTTATTTCCTTTCGATTCATTACAGTCAATCGCTTTATGACCGAGCTTACGACACCGGTGACATCTAAATTTAAAGGGTTCACTTTTTTGTTCACTGTCACGTTTTTTATTATCGTCTTTTCGAATTGTATTACGAGATTTAAAGAACTTCCTTTTCGCGAACATCGCGTCAGAGACATTGTATTGAACTCCGTTCTTTCTCGCTTCATATTCCTCTACTATTTTCACGCGTAATGTTTCGGGGCTCGGCAACTCGTCACGCGACTCGATCGCGCAGCGAAAATTTTCAAATTTAACGGGCAAACTATAAAGTAACATTACGGTCAGGAGATCTTTGTTTATATCTATATCCATTTCGCTTAGCTTGTCAATGATATCGAAGAATTTTTGCAAATGATCGTGCACGTCACCGTCGTCTGTCATTTTCAATAATGTAAGCATCTTAAGCAACGTCGCTTTTCGTGCTGGCCCGGTCGACTGGTAAATTGACTTTAACTTTTGCCACACTTCCTGCGAGGTGTTGCAACCTTTTATTTGCTTCAATTCCGACGGTTTGATTGCTAAGATGATGTCCGATCTTGCTTTTCTATCTTCATTATCCCAAGCTCCTGCTGCTGCCACGGATTCCGCGTTCCCGTCAACGATTGTGGGTCTGACTTTTTCCCCACTCACGTAACCCCAGGAATCGTTTTTTATTAAGATCGCTTCCATTTGAATTTTCCACGTGTCATAATTATTTTTACACAAAACTTCGATTCGAACACTTTGTGATGCCATTTTCAATCGCGAGATTCCACGTTTCGAGAAATGACGCCGACTTCAACACAACAGACGCGTCACACGAACTCCGCGTATAAGTTTTACTTTTCCTGCGATTTTACTATTTCCCGTCCTGGGCCCATAACCTGTTGAGATTAAGGTGGATCGAGTAAAATAACACAGTTGATTTGAGAACAAGATTTAATATTTATTATAAGTTAAAAATGAATATAAGACAAGAGCGAACTAATGGCGTCGAAACGAAAATTACTTGTATTGTGTTGTTGTGTGAAAGTGTACACTATATAGGTGGCGTTCAAAAAATAGTCACGTGTCCTTTTAATCGTACAAGGCGCGAAATATAAAATATTCGTTCTTCAACAATTTCGACTGAATAAAATGTCGACCTTCATAAATATTGTCTATCATTTATAATTTCGATAAAATAAAATATTGACTAAATAAAATATCGGCCACTTTAAATATCGATCATTTAGAATTTCAAATAAATAAAATATCGACCAAATAAAATGTTGACCATTTTAAATATCGATCATTTAGAATTTCGTTCAAATAAAATATCGACTTAATGTAATTCGATCAATTAAATTTTCGATCTTTTTAATTTTTGGGAAAAATCATGCGCCTCGTATTAACGTCAAAATTAGCACTGGGTAGTATATTTTGCCTACCATAATGTCTCATCTCACGTTTTTAGGTTCATTTATAGGTTATATTGGAGCCGCCACATTGGATTTTTCAAAAGGCCAGATACTTTTCGAAAGTACTTATGTATATCAATAATTTCCCGCTTATGAACAATAATTTTGATAGCTCTCAATTTCGCAGGGAGGGGTAGTCAGGTTGGCGCGAAACGTCCCATATATATATGAATAACATATAATACTAAAATGTGTTTAGCAAGTATGACGGAAATTTCGTTTAGATGTAAATGTAATTTTTAATATTATAAAGTTTAGTATAATAAGCATCGATTTTCTATCAATGATTGCATATTGCTCGTGTATGTTGCTTCAAATTTTTCTATACACATTTTATGGAAATAAATTGATAGAGAAGGTATTTCCTTTTAATATATTTTATTTTAATTTATAGAGAAATGAATAAATAAATATTCTATTTATATAATAACGAATTTTATAACGATTAAAATGGAAAATATTTTATTATCAGAGTCAATCAGTAGCAGACGCTGTATATAATAGTGATTGGTTAAATGTTGATTCTGCTCAAAGAAGAGAATTGAAATTCATAATGCAAATTAGCTCTAAAGGAACTATTTTGTCACATCATGGACAGTGTATATTAAATTTAAATACTTTTGTTTGGGTAATTATATTTTTTACTATTAAAATTATATATAAATAAACATATATTTTAAGCCATTTATAAAAGATTTTATTCTTATTTTGAGAGGGGAAATATAGAAAAGTTTTGAATTTTCTTCTTCAATTAAAAGTTTATATTTATAGACGTTTTCACCGTGTGGAAAAATTTAATCCTCCAAAAGGTTAAAGACAGTAGATATATATTCTACGTCTGCGCAGAATGTTTGATTACAGCTCTACACAGCTTTTGCGCAGACGCAGAATATATCTCCTGCCTTTAACCTCTGGGAGAATTAAATTTATCAACACGGTGAAAACGGCCTCATAGTATCAATGGTGATAAGAGAACTCTTGTTTGACATGTTTCCTAAAAAAAAAAATTCTTTTATAAATTTTTGCCCTATGCGAATACGTGTAATAAATCTTTAAAATTAGTTGCTCATTTAAAGTTATATTTTTTTTCTTGAATCATATTTAGATCCTAAAAATATACAGAATGGTCAAAAATTAAAATTTTGTTTTTTTGATCATCCTATATATGTTTTCAGGACCCAAATAATGCAAAAAAAAATACATATATGACTTCCTGCCATTATTAAAATTTAAAGGACTTAAAATAAAGGTGGTGACTCTTCTTCAAGAAAAAATTACTAAATGTTATTTATACTTTTGCAGATTGTTAAAGCATCCTACACAGCATTGAGTGTATTAAGAAATGGAACAAGTGCATAAAAAAATGTCTTTAATACATTTACTAAAAAAAAATGTTATATTAGAAAATGATAGAGATCATTATGAGAGATAACAAATTTCTTATTAGATTGTGTATTTAATTGAATAAACAATAAAGAAATTGCAGAAAAAAGAAACATCAATTTTTCCATCACAAAACTCATTTATATCCATTATTTAAAAAATTATTATTTTCAAGACACATTAATTATTAGACATCAAGTAAAAATTGTTTGAGAAACTTTTTGTATTATCAAACAGCATACCTTAAAAACAAAGTTTTTTATATTTTCCCATAAAAATGTTCTATCCCGTGTGGAAATTGAAAAATGGTCCTAACTTGGTCCTATCTAGTTTGCCGTTTTATTATCTAGGTTCTATCTTGGCAGTCTATCTTGGTCCTAAAATGGCTGGTGATGCGATTTTAGCCTGGTCCTAATTTGGGTGCCTATTTAGGACCAATATAAGGGTCCTTTTTAGGTCCTAGATAGGACCAGCTTTTTTAAAATTCACATAATTTTAATAGGATTAATTATTTGTTAATAAATTTTGATAACATAATTTTGTATTTTATATTGAAATTAATATATTTGCTTACTTTTAGTACATACATATATACAAAAACTTACTTATAAAATCTTTGTTTCTTTACGCATATATAATATATATTACCATATATGTACATAAAGAATGTATATTAACAATCAAATATTCGTAGATTTTTTAAAAAAATAAACATTTAAATATAACTGGACTTTTACAAAGGTTTAGCTTGCACCCTATGATTTAAATAAATCAGTTTCTTCCACTATAGTTCTCTTCGATATAAAATCTTTTTTTTTTAATTACAGAAAGTTTCTTTGAAAAAAATTATCTTTGTTTCAGAAAAATTTTAATTTTTTTAATCAAAGAAATTTTTTTTGATTTTATATTAGTATTGAAACTTCTTTGATTGAAATTTTTATTCTTTTAAATTTTTCAACTTATTTCAATCAAAGAAACTTTATGTAAATTTTAGAAAAACTTTTTGTTTAAAAGGAAATTTGTTTCGAATGATACAAAACAAATCAAAGCAACTGACTTTTTCAAATAAACAATCCCTTTTTTTGGGTGTATATAATAAAAATAAAAAATGTAATCAATAATAATAAATAATAATAATAATAAATCAATAAACAAGCAGAATCACATTACACTTTTTACACAAGAACTTAACCTCTAAATAACTTCTGCTTATAGTTTCGTCCGTTTCGTCTGCTAGGGTTGAAAAAGTAGGGGCAAAAAAATTCAAATTAAATGTAACCCTTCTCATTTTGTTTAATATAAATTTAATTAATAATTAATTAAAATTTTTAAAAAACTATGGTATATTTTTATTTTTTTATTATTTTTATTATTGTATTTATATATTTTTTTTATTATTTTATTATTATCTTATTATTATAAATAATTATATTATTATTATAATATTATTATTAATTATAATTAATAATGCCAAAATACTCCGATATTACTAAAATGGCTTGTAAAAGCAGGACCAAGTTAGGACCAAATTAGGAAATATTAACATTTTCTGCCAAGTTAGGACCAGCTTAGGGCCAATTATCATTTTAGGCATACCTTAGGGATTTCTACTCGGGATTGTCAAATATGCAAAATATTTTTATTTACGAGAATAAAAAAAAAGTTTAAAAAAAAATTTTTGCATGAAGTTTATTAGAATCACTTTTTTGTAAAAAAAAAAAATAAGAGTATAAGAAAAATAAGTCACATAAAATTACGGATTATACAAAATATATATTGTATATAAATCAAATCTAACATTTTACAATATTAAATTCCAGTTTATGATAAACAAAATAAAAATTTATTTATAATGAAATTTACCAAAAAAAAAACATATTGTAAATGTAATTATTTTACTTTCAATGATTGTTTTCATCAATAATTATTCTTCTGAGTCTGTTTTAGAATCGTTAAAATATATTCTATCCGGTATGTCAATATCTACATCGTGCCATACCCAATAGGAAAAAATACCCAGGACTGTTGCAACTGAGCCCACTCCCAAAATAATTCCTGGTAAATCTCTAAATTAAAATAATTTAATAATTTTTGATAAATAAATAATAAAAAGTAAGGTTATTAAAGTTACACAACTTTTTTTTTCAACGATTTTTATATTATTTATATTTATCTAATTTTTAAGAACAAAATAAATAATTCAATTAAAACAATATATTTAAAATTATTATTAAAATAATTATAATTTATAAACTTACTCTTTAAATGTAGATTCCATTTCTGGTTTATCTTTAACACATTTTACATGAGTATTCCTGGTAATTATTGTTGGTGTTAATTTTCTTGATTTTCTATTAAGAAATTTATTAAAATCTTTTAATACTAAATACGAAATTTTGAAAGACATAATTTAATTAAAATTTCAATATTTATAAAATGTCAATAAAATACAAAAGTTGAAAATTGAGATATTGATATTTAAATGTTGAATCTAAATTGTGAAAAACAAAATACTGACGATAATTATTTACTCTATGTATAGATTATATATATGAATAAATAATGAAATATATTTCCGAGTTATAATATTGTTTATATAATTTTTTTTTAGATTAAGTACTAAGGCATGAGTAGAAACTAATTTATTTTCAGTTTTTCTAAAAAGAGAAAAATAAATTTACTTTCTTCAATATAAATATTACTGATATATAAACAGTCTCAAAGAGTTACGATTCAAATAATCATTTGTCAATCTATACATCTGCTGCTAATATTTTACATTTCCTTGGAAAGGCGGGTAGTAAATTTGTTTCTCATCCTGCCGCATGACTACTAATTGGTCACTTAGCGGCAAGAATAAATGCGATGAACAATATATTGACAAAATCATCAGGAATCCTGTGATGCAAATGTACGCATAAATACCAGTATTTATTTATATACTTTTGTATCACACCGTGTGGAAATCTTCCCAAAGTCGCCCAAAGTGAGACTGGGCGCCAATATGGGCCCAACTTGGCTTCCCAAAGTTTGAAAAATGAAGAAATAAAAGAATTAAGTTAATTAAATTATTATTTAAATAATATTCTGAAGAAATATACAAAAAAACGCAACTGTGAAAAGCTGAAAAAAATGTTTGTTTTTCATTGTACTTGGGCAAAGTTTGGATCAACCCAACCTGGCCCCAACTGGGATTTCCCAAAGTATTCCCAAACTGAAATTTAATTTAATATTCTGTTATAAATAAATAAAAAAAACTTGAGAAATAATAAAAATATAAAATATAATCGATCCAGATGAGAGGTTAATAATGTTGAAATTTATAAATCATTAAATAAATTTTAACAGAGTATACAATTTTTATTAATTATTATTATTATTAATAATAAAATTTTGATTCTCTCACTCGGTAGTATTTAATAATATAAGAAGATGATATCGATCATTCCGAGTCAAGGATTAAATAAAAGATAAAAACATTATTCTTTACGTTTCAATGGCACAGACATCCTCTTCAGAAACTGAAAGTTTATTACAAAATATAAAAAAATTTTTTTATAAAACTTTAAAACATTTGTAAAAAATAAAAAAATATTTCTTATAAAAAAAATTAAAATTAAATGACTAAATTTACGGTACTAAATTGTACCGCATCTTATGTTGGTGAAACAAAGAGAATGGTGGGGGTTCGCGTTAATGAACATAAAAAATCAAAAGTTGGTGTCACTGCTACTCATAGAGATTCTAAAAAGCATGATTTTGACTGGTATAACTTTTTAATTCTTGACAGAGAATCAAATGAGAACAAACGCTTGATATCCGAAATGATTCATATTAATCTGCAAAAGAATGCAATAAACAAAAAAGATGACACTCAAAATCTCAGTAATTGTTACTTCCATTTTCTCAATGATAGAAAATATTCATAACTTTTATCCCTGTCTAATAATACTTTGACGTTTCTCTATTTACATTATTGAAATAAGGTCAATGAACCTAATTTCACTCTACGCTTCTTCATACTACTTTGTAATTGATCAGTGTCTATTAGCAATCGTGTCAATTGAGACGTTTAATCACTTTTAAATTTACTTAGTCAAAAAAAGTTTTTTTTGAATAATGTTTTCATTTTTTTTAAGGTAAATTTAGTCATTTAATTTTAATTTTTTTTATAAGAAATATTTTTTTATTTTTTACAAATGTTTTAAAGTTTTATAAAAAAATTTTTTTATATTTTGTAATAAACTTTCAGTTTCTGAAGAGGATGGCTGTGCCATTGAAACGTAAAGAATAATGTTTTTATCTTTTATTTAATCCTTGACTCGGAATGATCGATATCATCTTCTTATATTATTATTATTATTGTAACAAGTAATTTTTTTTAGAATAAATTTTATCATAGTTTTGTGTATAAAAAAATTATAATGATTAAAATTTTTAAAATATTTAAAATTGTATAAATAGAATTTATTTAAATTTAATATTGTGAATAATAAGATATGCAAATCGATTAAAGTATACAGAAGCATCGATTGATTCATGTGTGTCATAAATACGACAATCGATAACATCAAACCCTTTTATCGTGTCATTGTGAATCAATGTGTAAAAACATGACGAGTCAATTGTAATGCACTGCATTCTCCGCACGTTTTCTATATATATATATACGTCAAACAACTATTTTCACGATTCATTCACATCTTCCATATATGCTATTGTTGAAATTATTTTTTCTTCATTCAAGAAATTTTTTTTCTTTGTCAATGTTTCAGTAAAGTCGCATTATAGAAGAAAATTAATGACTAAATTTGAAAAAAAATGTATTCTTTAGTGCAAACAAATATAGGCCCCCACGTGAAAAGGTTCCCGGAATTTTTGCAGAGTGACTCTGGGAGTAGTTCCCAGAACATTCTGAGAACATTCCCGGAATTTTTTTGGTTTTTTCCCAGAATTCATGGAATTTTCGTTTAAATCATATAATTGATACTCCGGGATGACTCCAACGTACATC